TGTGAAGTGGATGGCTTCCAAATCGAACATTGGAAAATTGTCACCAAAGACTAACAAAGCAATTGGATAAGCAGGCTGCGCGTTAACGAAAAAAGACAATTTAAAAGTGAAGAGGTAAGTAGCAGAGATAGAAGCGATTTGGGTACTTTGACATCATGGATATCAGGAGTTGGTAGATTTCGAACACCATCTTGAAATTGGTTGCGTGAATGGTTAAGTAATATCACGAAGAGATAGACAATAGCAAAAATGGCAAAGACCAAGTTAAAGCCACCATCATTTTAAGAGAGGGACCTAAAACAGTACAAAAGGAAAATGAAATGAAATGAACAAAAAGTAGTGAATAGAGAAAAGCAAGAATAACAAAATTGCAAATAAAAATTGATAAGAAAGAGAACACAGAATGGAATAAAGAATGAGAAATAAAAGGCCTAACATGAAAGGATAATAATAGTAAGTGAAGATTAAATTCGAAATGCATAAGGACTTTCTCACTAGTTAGCTACATTAAGGCAGTGCTCTATCATGGTAGCTCATCATTAAGGCAAAAGGCAGTAAAATGAAGGGCATTGGCAGCAACTACTATGAGAGAGACTAGAAGCTAATTGCATTCAGGTCTACCTAGTAGAGGTAGATAATATTTCGAAGTTCCATTCTTTGCATAGCCTATATCGAGCGGCAAATTTACCTGTTATTTTATTTGTTCATGTGTTTACTAAGCTGTTAATGAGTCTATCGCATTCTACCTGGTAACCTGATTGTCGCTTTTGCCATTTTCGAATTTTAATGTTCGCACTCCATTAATCCTCGTCCTTTCATATGTGGTAAAGAGTGAATTGATAACTATTATATTCACCACCTGAACCTATACGTGAATAACTGTGCGTTCAAATTATATTTAAAAGTGAATTCAGCCAAAAAAAGATCAGTGAAGGCGCAAAGTTCCGAAATATTGAAGCAGATATGATTGTATATGAATAAATGCATGCTCGTCATTTATTCTCCACTCGGAGCCAGTGCCCACAATCTTAGTTTCCTCCAAAATTACGTACTTGACCAACTCACCAATGCATGGAGAGGACAACAGTCTGAATCTTACCTGCTTTCTGGAGCTATGCATGAGAAATTGTACTACGCTTGTTGTTTGTTATTTGTTTGCTGTTTTTTTGGAAAAAAAACCTATGTGTGAAAAAAATATTCATGTATTAGTTGTTCACTACGATTAGGTGATTATCATGTAGTTGATCAGCCGATATACACCGAGTTCCGATTCGGTCATCTGTGGTCTCACAATCACTTACTTAAAGATTAAGCAAATGTCCGTTATTTTAAAATATGTTCTTCTCACCCATCAAAGTCTAGTCCTGTTTTTTCAGTTAGTTGTTTTTGCTTTCTGCTATTTAAGACATTCGAAAAAGAATGCGTCGCACTGATAGGGGCGACTAGCAGGGTGATTTTACTTCTAGTCATTACAATTGATGCTGTATTTTCTTACCATGACAGACACCACAGGGACAGTTTATTTTATCTTGCCATGTGTGCTGAAAGGAATACGGAATAGAAGTTTTTTAATTTCTGATATAAACCCCGTTTTCCATTTGTTATAACAG